AGTGTTGATCATTTCTAGACGTTTTGGGGGTCTCATATATAATAGCATATTATCTGCAAACAGGGATGATTTGTCTTCTTCTTTCCCAATTAGTATTCCATTAATTTTCTTCTCTTGTCATACTTCTCTAGCAAAAGTTTCAAACACTATATTGCAAAGGAGAGGAGATATAGTGTCCAGCTTCATCTGGCTCCTGAGTTTAGTGGGAATGCTTCCAGCATTTCTCCTTTGAGAATGATGTTGGCCATGAACGTGTTGTGTGTAGCTTTAATTATGGCATGGTATGTTCCCTCCTGTCCAATTCACTTTAGGACTTTTTTTTTTTTATATAAATACATCGTGGATTTTGTGAAAGGACTCATCTATTGAGATGACCATATGAATTTTGTGTTTAAGTATATTTATAAAATGTATTACATTTGTTGACTTACGTATATTGAACAATCCCCGCATCTCTGAAATAATGTTGACTTGAACATGGTGGATGATATTTATGCTGTTTGTCTGTATGAGGTTTGTGACCATTTTGTTGAGAACTTTTGCATCTATGTTCATTAAAGATATGGGCCTATAGTTTTTTATGTGTTGTGTTTTTACCTGGTTTTGATATTAGAGTAATATTGGCTTCATAGAGGAGTTTAGGAGTTCTCCTTTTTTCTATAGTTTTGAATAACTTAAGTAATAGTAGTTGTAGATCTTTGAATGCCTGGTGGAATCTGTTGTGAATTCATCTGATCCTGAGCTTTTTATAGTTGAGAGATTTTGTACTGCTGTTTCAAATTTCTTATTTCTTTTTAAATTTATACTTATTATTTTTATTTTATGTGTATGTATTGCCTGCATGTAGGTAAGTGCACCTGTGTTGTGCAATGCCTGCAGAGGACAGAAGAGGCTGTCGGATCCCCTGGGACTGGAGTTACAGAGCGTTGTTAGTTGCCATGTGGGTGCTGGAGTTCAAACCTGGGTCTTCTGTAAGAACAACTAGTGTTCTTAACCACTGAGCCATCTCTCCAGCCCCCAGTTTCCTTATTTCTCTCTTTAAGCTGTTGATCTCTTCCTGATTTAGCTTTGGTGATTTACATGAATTTAGAAATTCATCTTTTTATCTTTTTTTACATTTTCTAATTTAATAGAGTATAGATTTTTAAATTAGTCCCTTATAATGTTCCGGAATTTGGGGTGTCTGTTGTAATGTTTCCACTTTCATCACTGATTTTGTTTATTTGTTTTTCATCTTTCTTTCTTTTGGTTAACAGGGTTAAGGGTCTGTCTATCTTGTTCATCTTTTCAAGAATGAACTATGAGATTCATTGATTCTTTGTGCTGTTTTTTTTTGTTTATATTTAATCAATTTTGATGTTATTTCTTCTTGCCTACTACATTTGTGTTTGGTTTGTTCAAGTCGTTCCAGGGTTTTGAGTTGTACTGTAGTCATTTCTATGTGTTCTTTCTGAGTTTTTAATGTAAGGCCTAGGTCCAAGATCGATAGAGGAGACAGTGTGCAGAAAAAGAATGGAGCTACTCAGAGTGCAGGGAAATCAAGCTCCGCGGTGGGCAGATGTTGACATACCAGGGCAGTATGAAGATCTCTGGCAGGCAGATCAGGAGTCAAGGCCAAGGGCAAGATGGGAATGGGAACAGCCTGGGGAGATGCCAACAAACTAGGCAGAGTAGGTGTGGGCCCTGAAGCTGGAGAAGGCCTAATTTTTTTTATTTTAATAGAGTTAAAGGACTCTTATTATTCATCTAAATTAAAATAGATAAAGTTTATTTTCTTCATAATAAATATGCCATATTTGGGGCTGGAGAGATGACTCAGTGGTTAAGAGTACTGACTGCTCTTGCAGAGGACCCGAGTTCAATTCCCAGCACTCACATAGCAGCTACGAACTGTCCTTAACTCCAGTTCCAGGGGAATCTGAAGTCCTCTTCTGACCTCTGAGGCATTGCATGACATGAGTACACTCACATACATGCAGGCAATACACTCAGGCACATAAAAATAATAATAAATAAAATATGTATTTTTAAATATGCCACATTTGTAAGGCTAATGGGAAGAAAGAGAAAAACATCTAAAGGACTAAGATATATAATTCTGAAGAACAAACTGACTCATGAAATCATTCATGTAGACAGGAAAATACAATTAGTTAAAACTTGAGAGAGAATTAAGAAAGGTACACACTTTGAAGTTAGTCTGGGATATATGAAGAGAAAACTTTGAAAAGCCTGAAGGGATATATTTAATGAGCAGGAACAAAGCAGAAGTGTACTGAGACCAGAATCATATGAAGACTACAATCCAGAGTGTAGTTCGATCAGTATCAGTCTGAGAAACTTGATCACATTTCAGTCCTTTCTGTCTCGTGTAGAACAGTAAAAGGTTTTGGTTACCATCCAGTCAGATCTGTATTATTCTTGTATATAAAGTGTCTGAGAAACTCAAAATAACCATTATACATACGAAGAAACTTGGGTATGCTTATTACAACTAAGGGAAAATTGTATACGAAAGTAGTATATACATGACTCAATTATTGGAGTCAGTAAAATAAGATGTAAGAGGGATTTTATGTATTTTAAAAAGACGTTAAAAATTTAAAAGTTTATTTCAAAACATGACAAATTTCAATTGAAAAATGGAATATCTAAAAGGAATCAAATGATGTTTTAAAACTGGAAAGTATATGAAATGTGAATTTTTAAATTTTGGAGAATTGAAAGGTAAGACTGAAAAACAGGTTAAAAATACAAACTCTACTACTCAGACATAAAAGAGTAAAAAAATAGAGCATAAAAAGAGATAATTGGAATAACATGAAATTGATATTATGCATGAAAATTATTGCTAAAATGAAAAAGAGAAGCATTATTTGAAAACACTGAATAAAGGCACACAAACAAATTTAAGAAACAGCACATAGCAACAGAGTTGAATGCAAAGGAAATCATCACAGGCATAGTAGGAATTTTGCTGAAAATTAATGATAAGGCTAGGCAGATGATTTCAGTGGGTAAAGAGCTTGCTTTGCAAGTGTGGTGATCTGAGTTTTTTTTTTTTTTTCCCTAGCATCCATATAAACGCCAAATGGGTCCAACTGTAATCCCAGAACTTGTGAAGTAGAGACAGGTGATCCCTGGGGCAAGATGGCTAGCTTGACTAGGAAAAGCAGTGAGCTCTGAGTTGAAGTGAAAAACCCAGCCTCGATATATAAGATGGAGAAAAGCTGAGGAAGGTAAGTGACACCAATCTCTCACCACCATACACATACATACACCTCTGCATGTGCATATGTACCTGCACACACACATGCACCCACACACATACACACATGCATGCTACAGAGACACATATACGAAAAACCCCACAAAGATAAAAAGAACATATTTAGTGTAGCCAGAAAGTTAGAAGGCCTTCAAAGGATCAACCATGAAGCTGGTGGCTAAGCAGCAGAAAATATGAAAGGTAGAAGACACTGAAAAATATTTTAAGGACTAGAAAATAAACTTCCTTCAAATCTGCAGTGAGACAACTCAGACAACAATGAAAATATGTCAGGTGTGGGAAAGTAAGAACAAATCAAGTAAATAGTGAAGTTACTAAAAGCCTATAATAGCATAAACAAGTAGAAGGGCAAGAAAGAAGAAAGTGAAGACTATTTTGCAGCTCGATGCCAGTATTCTGGCTTAGGCCAAGGAACCTGCTATTCACAAGCAAGTTAACTCAGGTAAGCTGAAAATAAAATCAATCCTTCGTTGGCAGATCACTGCAGTCCTGTCTGGTGGGAAAAAATAACCATCTGGCTTTAGGGCCAAATCAAGGATTTATTTGGACAGAAATTCACCTTTCCAGCAGTCTAGCACCGGAGAATTCCCTTAGAGCTCTCAGCACACTCTTAAGGATGAAAACAAGAAGCCACCCAGACAATGGTCATATTATGATAGTCATAGTTTCTGCCAGCCAGAAGGAACAATACTGTACATATCATCCAGACACAACTCTCCTTGGGACATAGGGACAGTACTTCAGCACTATTAAGCATTTATCTTTAGATTTATTTTAAATTTTGTGTACATGTGTGTCTGTGTGTGGAAATGTGCACATGTGAGAGCAAATGCCTTCAGAGTCCAATAGAGGGCATCAGAATTCCTGGAGATGGAGCTACACACAGTTGTGAGCCATGTGATATGAGTGCTGGGAACTAAACTCAGATCTTCTACTAGAGAAGCAGCCCTTTTAATAGCTGAGTCATCTCTTCAGTTCCTTCTTAAGCGTTCATAAATGTTATAGAGTACTGTTAAATACAAATATAATTTTCTGTGCTGAGCTCTTATTAAGTTTTTATTGTAAATACCTTTTAAATATTTTCTGTGATGATTAAAAGAGGCAGCAACAGCCCTTTGTAAGACCTTTTCCTTAGTCCTGGCGGTCTGAGCAGGGCACTGTTATCTGAGAGCATTACTGGCAATCATCTAGACTTTTCCTCATAGCAGTCCAGCAATTTTAGACATTTTACAATTCAAGAAGGCTCCAGAAGCTATAAGAGAACATTGCAATTTTAATGGAGTTGGTGTTCATAGCCACTTGAGGCACACTTCTCCAGGCTTAGAAAGCAACACTCTAATCAAGGCTAGTCTCAGAGATTCAAATGTGGTGGATTATGGGAAAAAATTAAGGAAGACTAAATCCAGTTGGTTTCAAGATGGGTCTGGGAATATTGAATTAGCAAAAGCAATAGAATACTTTGTCATTAACTTCAAATTTCACTTAAGGACAATGAAAACCATGATTTAAATCATTTTGAAATTTCCTAAACAGAAAGTTTTTTCTCTACATTGCTCAATGTACTTTTATAAAATTGAATAGAAGTGACACGGATCTTTTACTTAGAGGTACACATGACCTCTATGAGTTAGAAAATTCATCCTAGTCCAGAACAAATGTGGCTAATTAATGGTTTTCAGTTAGCATTTCAATAATTTAAAATCTCAAAATATCTCTATGATTCATATACTAACATTGTAATCTCTTTATAGCATCTTTAATCTCTTTGTTTCTTAAGGTGTAAATGGCTGGATTTAGGAGAGGTGTTATAACTGCATAAAATACAGCAAGAAACTTGTCCACCCAGGTGATACTGACTGGCCACAGATATATGAAGATACATGGCCCAAAGAATAATACCACCACTGTGATATGGGCAGTGCAAGTGGAGAGCGCTTTAGAAGCCCCATCCTTTGAATGAAGGCAGACAGTAAACAGAATCTGAGAGTAGGATATCAGCAACAGAGTGAAGCAGATGGATGCTAGTATACCACTGTCAGCATTTATCAAAATTTCTAGAATGGAGACGTCCACACAAGCTAACTTTATCACTAGTGGAATATCACAGAAAAAGCTGTCCAATTTCTTGGGTCCACAGAAAGGAAGCTTTATAATGATAACGAGTTGGCTCATTGAATGCACAAAGCCAATGATCCATGATGTCATCACTAACCCAATGCACATATGTCTGCTCATGATGCTGGAATAGTGGAGAGGCTTGCAGATGGCCACATAACGGTCATAGGCCATTGACACAAGCAATACCATCTCACCCCCTCCAAAGAAGTGTCCAAAGAAAATCTGACACATACATCCTCCAAAGGAGATAGTCTTGTTTTTCTTGAGGAAGTCTGTGATCATTTTAGGAGTAGTGACTGAGGAAAGACAAAAGTCAATGAATGAAAGATTGGCCAACAGGAAGTACATAGGGGAGTGGAGATGTAGGTCAATGATGATTAAAACCACAATGAAGATGTTGCCTAAAATGGTGATTAAATAAAGTGAAGAAAAGATCACTAGCAAGAAGGCCTGGAGCTCCAATGAATCACAAAGTCCAAGAATCATGAATTCGGACACCTCAGACTGGTTTACTTCTTCCATCTAGTTCAGATCTAAATTAATATGAAAGAGAAGGTACAACATTAGATTTTGTTAAGACAGTATAAGAATCAAGAGGATTTCTTAAACTCTTCTGATGGAAGTGATTCAGCATACTCACTTTAGAAAAGACCTTGGTCTTTCCTTGTGATATTCATGCATTCATACAATCTTAGAAACTGCACTCTCAAAAATA